CAGAATCATTCAGAACCCCGGGACTCTTTCTTCTTTCCCAGGAGGCTAAGGGGTAAGGGTAAGGATGATTTCTGTGTTAACTGTTTAAAAACACCTATTTCCAAAGCAATAGTTGGTAAGTTGCCAAAAATCATTTAAGAAATAGAGCACGGATGGCCTTCATTTTCATTCAGAGTAGGAAAAAAACAGCTTACCTTTGCCAGTACCAGTAATAATGATTTTGTTGAGCTATGCCAAAACCTGCAAAACTCTCCTGCCCCGCCATTTATCCAGAAACTTGGCAGAATGAGACCAGGTCTCTACAGTTTTTATTCCGGTATCAGAAATTCCAGGTCAGGGGGCTAACACCTCTCACTCCAGCAAATACCTCTCACAACTGCCTAAGAATAGTAATTACACTTAGTGACAATTCCTGCTAGGCAATGAATTGCTTGACTTTCATTACAATGGGGTTAAGGTGTGGTTGGAGCAGGAGTCCATAGGGGTCACCTGGGGGGACTTCTGCAAACCAAGGGGCTGGCTTTAAGCCTGCTAGCCCCCCTCTACCAAATGCTGGCCCCAGGGAAGGTAGCCGGAAGCCAGTGGAGAAGAGTATGTGTTTGAGGGACTGACTGAAGTTTCCATCCCACCCCCTACAATAATTGAGTCACTGGCCATTTCCCTGAAGCTTATTAATAAGTGCTTGATCTATGGGGTGCCTGAGTGGCTCAGTCGTTAAGTGTCTGCCTTTGGCTCAGGTCATGAGCTCAGGGTCCTGGGATTGAGCCCTGCATCAGGCTCCCTGCTCAGCGGGGAGCCTGCTTGTGTTCCCTCTCTTGTTCTTTCTCTGTCAAATAAATAAATAAAATCTTAAAAAAAAAAGGTGCTTGGTGTAGTCTATATTTACCTGGAATGTTAAAAATAATCAGCATGAATTCAAATCATTCATTCACCCATTATTTACTGAACGCCTCCTTACACAAAGCACGGTCGTCTCTACTCTAGATCTCCCCATGCTTCCTGGGAGATGGTATTGATGAACAGCTGTGGAACACGTTGCTAGGCACCACCCACTATTCAGTTTCTTTTTCTTAATAACAGAACCCTAACTTTATTTGGGGGGCAGAGATAGGCTTCACTAAAAGACATTTCCTAGCTCTCCCTGCACAGGTAGATGCGCTCAACTGGCCAAAGTCTGGCTAGTAAGATGTAAATAGAACTATTATAAGGGGTTGAGGAAAGCTGTGTGGGCCAAGGGAGTTTGTTTAGCTGGAAGGAGGCCTATTGTCCTCCACCCTTTCCCCAGAGTGCTGAGATCAGATATGATGGCTGGAACCCAAACTCTGCACATATTTTGGCCTATGAGGTGACACCATGGAGGAAGTCATGCACAAGAACACAGGATCTGAAAGAGAAAATGGGTCTGGGTCTCTGGTGACGGTGGACTCCTTGTACCAGCACTAGCCTGGCTACCTCTAGATTTCTCTTAAGAGATCAATGTCTTGGTTAAGCCACAGCTATTTTAGGTTACTGTATGAAGTTAAACACAATTCCTAACTACTATAGCAGCTTGGCCATCAAATAAAACATACCAGTTAAGGATTCTTTTTGTCAAACTTTAATAGTTTTTTGTTCCTTCTCTTATTTTAGAGCTGTATTTTATAAAAGGAAAATCACAATTTTTGCTCTGAATGGGTGAGAGATCAAGCTGTAGTTAGAAAGGAAAGCAGAGCTAGACGTTGATAAGAACGTGGTAAGGAGGCTGAGGAAGGGATGTCAATGTTGCATGTTGAAATCACCCAGCATGATGGTGGGAGCTAGGTACAGAGGACCCTGAGCAAAGCTCCAGAGAAGAAGGACATTCAGGGGCTTTGTTGATGACAGTGACAAGGAAGTGTTCTTAAATGTTTTGTTCTCTTAAAAGCCCTAAATGCCAACTTATCATATTTCACCTGCATTATTCCCATGAAGCAGGTGAAGCAAATTTATCCCAGGGCAGACAATTGGCCAGTGTCCAGGGGAGGTAACCCACTCTTAGCTTCCCTTAGCTCTATGTGCAAAAGAGACCAAAATCCTCTGGGAATATCCACAGGCACCTCTGCCTTCCTAAAAGTTGAGACTTGCTACCTGCCGCAGTGAGAAAGGAGGGTAACTGAGGAGGAATATTAGACTCATATTTCTAACAAGCCTGATTTTTCTCTGCTATCTCCTGCTTTTAGCCCAGTATATCCATCTTACCAACTGCTGCCTCCCCCCACTCCCAAAACAAACTGTTTTTTCTTTAGCCAACCAAACAAAGCCAGGCACTCAATAAATATTTGCTGAATGAATAAATCAATGCACGGCTCAGTGTAGAAAGCTTTTCAATCAATAAAGGCAAAACAACAACAAAAATCCTGTTGTGCTTTAGCGTCAATGAACTTTTAACGGTTGTTTCTTGGCAACTGTAGTTTTCACAAGAATGAGATTAAATGGTTTTTTGCATCCTGCGTTAAGAAAGAGAACAGGAGGTTTGCAGGAAGTATGCTCAGTTTGAATCCAGTTGAACAAGTATGTAATTTTGTATTGTTTTTCTTTAGAGAGTGAAAAACTGTTTTCTTCTTTGTTAAAAAGAAAGTTTGAGCCCAAGGAAATATAAAAAGCAGCAGCACTGGGCCTGTTACTTAGCTGTGTGGTTTTGAAAGTTCCTTTTCTAGACCAATTTCACATTTATAACCTCAGACTGGATGAGTACATTTTAACTGTAGAGGCACTAATCCTTCTGAAAATGTAATGAACTTTTTATCAGTGCTCTCCTCCAAAAATGTACATACACAATTTTGCATATAATTTCAGGGGATTCAAAGCCTCCAAAACTTACCCATGAACTCCCTTAGATTGGAATTACCTGGATAAATGCTCTTTAAGGTCTTTCGAGCTCTAATTGGTTCCAGTAATTTCTAACAGTTAAAAAAAGAAAAAGTACACCACTTTGAGTTATGTTTATGTTGTTTACACTATGGCTTTCATTCTAGAACCAGCTATATTCTAAAAGATTCCTGGTTGGAGCAAGACTTTTTCAAGCCGTAGTGTTCTTCTTTAAAATGTGACAAGCTGGTAAAAGTGTGACAATCTGGTAATAGATGCTGAATATAGTAATTATCCTGTTACAGTGCTAAAATTAATTTCAAAAAACGTACTGAATGAGTACTAATTCTTATCAAACAGTAGTTGAGATTTCCCTGGCGATAAAGAGGAAGAGCACCAACGGCTTTCCAGAGACAAAAGTACATGGAAAAGATTAAAAAAAAAAATTTTTTTTTTTTAATTTATTTGTCAGAGAACGAGTGCACAAGCAGGGGGAGGGGCAGGCAGGAGAAGCAGACTCCCCGCTGAGCAGGGAGCCCCATGTGGACTCCATCCCAGGACCCCAAGATCATGACCTGAGCCGAAGGAGACACTTAGCCAAGCAGGCGACCCTTTAAACAGGTTTGTTCGAAGATTTTTTTCTTTTTGGATGAGAGAATATCACTTTTACATTAAAATAAATGGATGTATCATTAAGTAAAATGCAGTAAGTCATATTTTTCAAGATAAAATATGAGACTTCAAAGAAATGTCTTGCTTACTTATTATTTGTCCCATGCCCAGGGGACACCCACTGCAGCAATTCACACTTTTCTCACTTGAGTGGTTCTCCAGTGGAAACAGTCAAGAAGCAGTCAACAGAAAATAAATAGTAAAATAACTTGACTTTTTGTAGGTAATTAGCACAAAGTGAAGGAATTAGGATAAAACAGTGAACGACTACACGCGTTTCCAACACCAAGAGTTAGTTTGACTACAGCATTTTCAGTGCCTGAGAAGGGCTTTCAGGTGGAGTCGCCGAAGTGCACAGAAGACAAGGCCTTCCTTCCGTTGCAATGACAATTAAAGCATGCAAAATCCTTCCTACAAGACTCAAACCAGCGTAAAAGAAAATAAACCCGAGTTAGATACGTGGTGATAATTCACAATCCCAAAGAATATTCTTGAAAACAAAGGGGTCAAAGTGCTACACGATCAGCAGTAAACAGGGGTTGAAGAATTGACACCGACGGGTGTCATCTACCTCCTGCTTGTCAAATCCACCTGCCGTGGCATTTATGAGACAAATTATGACGCTCCAGAATGTATTCCATTAGGTTTGTACAAAGATGCCATTTCTGAATCTCCACACCTTATGAAAATCTAAAATGTCAATCAAGGCAATCTTTGCTTTCATGAATGTTTCATTTTGCATCTGAACCGGGAGGTTCAGATTTCCTTCTGGAACGTTCACGTAGGATGACTGCGCCCTTCTTCCTCAATCAGTCCGTCTTTACCCCTTTCAAGTAAAGCGTCCTCCTCCCTCCCCGGGGTGTGCGGCAACGTTGGCCAATGCGACCCCAAAATCAGACAAGCGAATCCAGCTGGAAGGAAAGGTGCGCGAGGCGGGATTATCCCGGCGGGCAGAGAGAAGCGCGGGAAACGGAGCTCCAGGGCCCCTTCGCGGTCGGCTCTAGAAACCGCTAACCTTGAACGCCACCCCCTCTTTGCCCTATTAGGAGAGAACGTGAGAGAGGCTCGTTTGTGCTTCCTGCACAAAAAGGAAACCCAATTCCTGTGCCCCGTGTCACAACCCACAGGCGAGCGGCCTCCACACTAACCCCCGACACCGCCAGAAGCCCCGCCCAGGCTGAAAGAGGCCCCGCCTCGCCGTGACGTCACATAAACGAGGGGCTTCCGCAGAGGATGTCCCGCCTTACTCTCCTTAGACGTGCCTAACTCGCAGCCACCTAGGATATGCTTGCTTGCCCCTAACTTTTTTCTCCTCGTCATGAGCACTTCCTCATGTGACGTTCTTTATTCTCCTCTTGGAAGCTCCGCGTGATCTTCGAGCTCTGAAACCGTTTTCACGAAGGCAGGCGCCCAAAAGGCAGCCTGCGCTCGTGACGTAAATTTGAGCGCCGACGCAGGAAGGACCCTACTTCCTCTGGCATTCGCTTTCGTCATTCTCAGCTGAGCGGGGCCCGTTGAAGAGGCACGTGCGCTGCTGAATGGAGCTGGTAGCTGGTTGCTACGAACAGGTCCTTTTTGGGTTCGCTATACACCCGGAGCCGGATGCAGGCGGCGATCACGAAGAGGTAAGAGGGTGCGCGGGTAAGTCTGGTCGGGTTCCCACACGGCGGAGGTAGGCACATCATCAGAGGTAAGTAAACACATTGATCTCTTAGGGATTAATTGATGAATCAAACTTATAATTTAGTTTTTTTAAAACATAGAGTAGGCATTTCATAAAACGAGGTCATGTCTGTTGGTTTTAGTAGACATCCTGACCACTTTACAGGAAGGAAGCTGGCATTCCTGCCACCAGGCAAATGAGTCATAGGTTATGGATTTAAGCCTCGCTCCTGTAAGTTGACAGCCAGTTTTCCGTGTTCAGGATTTAATGAAAGAACAGTTCGCCCTCTTACTGAGTTTTGTCTTGGAATTTTACAAAATATTAGAGCTGGATCAGGATAAACTCCTCATTGATAAAAAGAGAAAAAAAAAAGTGTCCCGATTCATTCAGTATTTTGGACCCTTTACCATGGGGCCGTTTATTGGCAGTGGAGTTACAGAGAAGCCAAAGGAATGGATCCAGTGCTAGACAGCTTGCCAACATAAGGAGGAGAGTAGAGGAGACAAATGCATGGAGAAAATTATAACAAAATAAAATATTTTTCTAGATGTGTGAGCAAAAAGGTTAAGTAAATTGCCATTAGTGAAACAGGTAGTTAGGACATATCCAGGACTAGAAATAAGATCTCTTAACTTTTAACCCAGTAAATTTTTCCCTAAGCAAATCTACAAATCTCTTAGAAACCTATTTTTATCAGTACTTTATGAAGTCGAGGTGTCAGTCTTGAATGAACCAGGAAACTGGAAGTATGTAACTTGACTAATTAGTTTTGTTTATTTTGTTTCTACCTGGTTATTAATCTGCTTTTGGCTGAAAGGTGACATCTCTTGTATGCTTAAAGATGATGTTATTGATTGTGTTACTCATTCTAAAAAAGTTGCTCATTGTTCCAGACACATAGTAGTCCTCACAGCAACCCCCTGAGGCAGATACAGTTATCCATGTTTTACAGATGAGGAGCCTGAAGTTGAGATCCCTTAAGTGACCTGCTCAAGGTCACACAGCTAGTAATCGGGAGACCTGGGACTCAAGTCCCCAACTGTCTCTGAAACACAAAGCTCTTAAACTGTCCACTACTAAACTGTCCACTAACCTAGACAGACAGTAGCTCAGATAATCAACATTTCTTCTGTAATATGCACAAGCAAAGGTTATTTTTGATTTATGGCCATAGCAGCCGCTAAGGAATATGTGCCTTTACTCAGAAGAGGCTCTCTTGATCCTGGTTGATGGAAGCAGTGTCTGTTGGTGTAGTTATTTAGAAATATCTTTGCAGGGGAGCCTGGGTGGCTCAGTAAAGTGTCTGCCATCGGCTCAGGTCATGATCCCAGGGTCCTGGGGTCTAGCCCTGCATCGGGCTCCCTGTTCGGTGGGAAGCCTGCTTCTCCCTCTCCCACTCTCCCTGCTTATATTCCCTCTCTCGCTGTGTCTCTCTCTGTCAAATAAATAAATAAAATCTTAAAAAAAAAAAGAAAAGAAACATCTTAAGTGTGTTCAGAGAGGTGTGATGGGTTTTTTTTTTTCTTCTTCTTTGGTGTGTTTGTTTTGCTAATATGTCTTGATGCATCTTCAGTTTGAGGTGTGTATATGTATTCAGCTGTCAGTCATTCTTTGCACTCAACCAATCTCACTTATTCAATCAAAAGTTGCATTATCAATAAGCATAGAGTTCTAGAGACCTCATCATTGGTCATTCTCTAGGGCTTATATTGGTACTAATGGAAGGAAACATACTCTTCATTCTGTTTATTTTTCTTTATGAGACTTGTCATTAGGGGCGCCTGGGTGGCTCGGTCGTTAAGCGTCTGCCTTTGGCTCAGGTCATGATCCCAGGATCTGCCTGCCCCTCCCCCCTTGTGCTCACTCTTTCTCTGACAAATAAATAAATAAAATCTTAAAAAAAAGACTTGTCATTATACTCATCTGTGACATATTTGTTTACTGTTTGTCTCTCCCACAGGGATGGCAGTTCTATTAGAATAAGGACTTTCTTCACTGCTATGTATCAACTGTCTAAAATGGTGCCAAGCACATAGTAGTCATTTAATATTTGAATGAATAAATTCAATTCAAAATCTGAACATTTGAATGAATGAATGGTATGCAAGTCTCACATATAAGTAAATATTAAGCAGTTAAGGATTTGGATAGGACCTTAAAGTAGTCTGTCTCCATAATTGTTTTGGAGTCACGATATCCAGCATTGCCTTCCGATTTCCTTGCTGCCTGCCTTCTTTCTCAGGTTCTTTGTTTTTCTTAATCTGCTATGATTGCATAATTTTTTCTCCATTTGTAAGTATCTACTGGTAGTTTTCATGAGTTGTGGAACCGCTTATGTGTTTCTAGAGAACTGTGATATGATTGTGACATTGATTGTGTGTTTTACTCTTCAGCAAAAATGGACTCCTGTGGCTGACTTCACTCACCATGCCCACACTGCCTCCTTGTCAGCGGTGGCTGTAAATAGTCGTTTTGTAGTCACTGGGAGCAAAGATGAAACAATTCACATATATGACATGAAAAAGAAGATAGACCATGGGGCTCTAGTGCATCACAATGGTGAGAACATTATATCCTTTAAGATAACGTTGAAGTATCATTACTTTACAATTTGACTTCAGTTGAACAATTCATTAGGTGTCTATTATGTAGCAGGTTCTGTGCTAGGGAATACAGAAAGGAGAAAAGTGTGATTTTTTTTTTTTTTTTTTATCCTTAAGTTCTTCATAGTCTATATTGGGAGACAGAAGGGAGGCACTTCACTCACTCTGGGGGCAGTGGGAGGAAGTGACTTTTCACTGACAACTCCCCAAAATGACATCTGACTGAATTGTCTTAAAAGAGAAGTACCAGTTGTTAGCTAGGCAGGAGAAAGGGCATTCCAGGCAGAGCAGGAAGCATGAGGAGCACAGGAACAGCCTCATGTTGATAGCTAACTTTATTGAGGGAGTACCACGTGCCCAGCAGTGTGCCAAGAAACTACACTTGTACCTTCAGTTCATAGAAGAGAAAACTGAGATTCAATGATGTTAAGTTGACTTACCCACAGTTACAAAACAATGGAACTAGACTCAAACCTAGGTCTAGAGCCCATCTTTTTAACTGCTGTGTGCATAGAGAAGTAACCAAGTCGGTATTATGAGAAGGTTAAAATGGAGGTTGGGTGACTGGAGAAGCAGATGGGCTGGGTCCTGGGTGGTCCTTGAGAAGAAGAGGTTAGGGATTGAATGGGAGGGAGGGGCTGTGTGGGCTTGAGGAAAGTGCTGGCATCCGGGATATGAGAGAGATGCTGACCAAGAACAAGCAAAAGACTGATGAGAGTCTGCCTGATTGAAGTTGGAGGCTCTGGATCGAGTTAACATCCGTTTGCAGTAAGCTACCGGCATTTTTATGGGGAGCAGAAAGCTACTTGGTGTGTGCAATAGGTGGATTGATATACAAAGGAATTCAGGATTTTGGTGAAAGAAGAGGTTGTTGGTCTAGAGAAAATGGGGTGTGAAGAGTCTACAGATCTCTGAAATAAAAGAGCAGATGGACTGTGAATGAAGGGGGGCCTGAATGGGCTGGTGAGTGGTGAGGTTGTGGGCAGGGGTGAGGCTCTTAAGAGTTCAAGAGTTGTAATGTGGAGCAGCTCTAGGTGGTAACTGTCTGAGGTGTAGGTGTGAGGGACTAAACCAGAGAGGAGGCAAAGGCCACTAGAGTTGAGGTCGGGACTGGTGATTCTCAAGTCATGACTGGGTTTTCTACAGTGATAGTGAAGTTGTCCAGGATAGTGGTAGGATCAACAAGTAGGGAGACTAAATAGGTGAGTTTTTTTTCCAGTATTGAACATTACGGTGTTTTTATTGTATTTTCCCAGGGACACTCTGCTAAGGATGTTGGTTTCCTGCAGTTAAAGGCAAATGAGACCACTATGCATTTGTTCTAGCAGTAAATTTGGAGTGGTCAGCGTCTTTTTTAGGTCCTTAGCTACTTTGACAAGCATTTTCCTTTTCAACAGAAGCTAGGCTTTGAGTGAATTGAGCATATATTCCTTTTCCATTCTGTCTCCTGATCCCAGTTCATGCAAGAAAGTCTTCTCTTTCCCTTGGGCATGGAAGAAATAAGTTAAACAAATGTGGTCTGCCTAGAGCCAATGGTTCAGGTGTTCCCCAACAGGAAAAGGACTGACTGAGAAGGAGTTTGGATGGGGATGAAGTATGGTTCCTAATTTCCTTTATTCCTTGTTTAACTCCTGTTTGTTTGGGTTTTTTCAAGATTTTTTTTATTTATTAGCACGTGAGGTGGGGGAGGGGCAGAGGGAAAGGGAGAAGCAGACTCCCCCCCCACCCCCCACCCCCGAGTGGGGAGCCTGATGTGGGCCTCAATCCCAGGACCCTGATATCATGACCTGAGCTGAAGGCAGATGCTTAACTGACTAAGCCACCCAGGTGCCCCTAACTCCTGTTTTTCTAACAGTTGGTAAAAATAAGCTCTTTTCCAGAGTAGGAAATAGGATAATAGAAAAGAGGAAAATAGGAGTAAAGACGGCTAAAGACTCCCACTTTGATAAAGTCGTATGTAACCCCATATATTATTAGTGCTTTTTGGGGCAAAGTTATTCATCAAAGATCTTTGACTCTTTCAATATAAAGGACAATGTAAAGGGTTGAGTAGGACGTGGCAGGTGAACGGCAGTGACCCCAGGGTTCATACCCTTATTCTGAAAAGGACAAAATAGTAAACATTTAGGCTTTATGTCTGTATGTTTTCGGTTTTGATTACTCAGCTCTGCTTTTGTGGTGTAAAAACAGCCATAGACATTTTGGAACTGAACAAGGGAGTCTGTGTTCTAGTAAAACTGCATTTATGAAAACAGGCCACCAGCCAGGTGTGGCTTACAGACAGTAGTCTTTTGACCACTGAGCTATAGGGCAGTTAAGTTGGGTGACAGGCTTCAAAGGATAGGGAATTTTACTTGAGGGTAAATGTATAATGATGTGCACTGCTTTTGGGAGTTAAAAGAATGCTGGGTTCTTCTATCACCTTACCTCCTTACAGCGAGGTTTATATTTGAGGACAGTGAATATGTATGTCTCCCAATCCCAGGAGCTGTGGGAGAAATTCATGGGAGATTCAAGCTTTAGTTTGGGCAGAGGGGAGTGGAGTGTTGTTTTTTTTTTTAATTTTTTATTGTTATGTTAATCACCATACATTACATCATTAGTTCTTGATGTAGTGTTCAATGATTTGTTGTTTGTGCATAACACCCAGTGCTCCACGCAGAACGTGCCCTCTTTAATACCCATCACCAGGCTAACCCATCCCCCCACCCTCCTCCCCTCT